ACACACACAATAATTACAGGAGTAACAAAAACCTTAACAAGCCACTGCAAGAAACATCTATCATCGATTAGGGGGCACCACTGGCTCAGGTCCCAATTCATATCCTTCAATGCATTAACATTTAAACAAGGTTCCCGGCAGAGCAGAACAACAACACTCTCAGTCTTGGCAGAGATGAATCCTAAAAGAAAGACATTTCGACATCCACAATTATAGCACTCAAGAATTGTTTCACCAAGAGGACTATCTTTATGAAGGCAAACCTCCTTGTGCTTTGCTCGAACCTGGAAAAGTTAAACAGTGAAAATTGGCTAAAACGTCATGACCAATAAATTTGCTAACAAATTTGCTAATGTTTTTTTGGGATAAACTACAAATATATTTCAGTGTTCACAAATCTTCAATGAATGTCCATCAAAGAATTCTGATAAACAAAACATCTAAAACAGAGGAAGCAAAACATAGCATGAACCTTCCCTTCTTTACTCACTGTCACTTCCCCATTTTATCTCATTTATAAAAATTTAAAAACAATTAAAAAAAGTTTTTTTAAAAAAAAAAAACTCAAGGGAGGAACTTAAATAGACACGTGAATTATAAGGGTAAACAAGTTCAAAAGTATTATGTTACATGCCACATAAGACAGTATTTATCCGGCTTGTGGGAAGGAAAGGTACAATTTCCTAGTTCAAAATTCTCAACTACAAACAAAAAACAAACACAGAACATAAACTTTTTGCCATATTTTCACTTAGTTCATTCAGTTTCCTCCACTCATAGATTCTCATCATCCCTTGTAGCTCCAGTGACCATATCAAAAGATCATGCTTTGAGCATGTAAGCAAGGAATAAGCCAGCTGCATCTGATGTATCTCCACTGACTAATTAGTTGAAGAAGCTTACATCTTCCAATGGTTCTCTATTAACTAATTCTAACTTCCCAAGTTACTGAAGCTTCAAATATATCACTTTTTTTCTACTAAGTACTAAATCATTCAAAAAAAAAAAAAAAAATAGTGTACCCAGGAAAATGCAAATGCTCTAATTATCCCATTCTTCAGTTTCATTCATTTGAACTGACAGATGATAACGTGCAATATCTTATCATCAAAGCAATTCCCCCATTGATTAGCTTAGCATATAAGCAGAAACAAAGCATTGGCCTTAAAAGTTAAAAAGGAAAACAGCTGATGTATCCCCAGACTTACCAGGTGATTCACAATATGCGAGCCTGAAGTATTCCCCCTAGAATTGCAGAACCACTTGCGACATGACGGCACATTGCACCTGACAACACAGGCGGGGTTTGTTATACCACAGTACCGACAAGCATGCTCCACGGCAAAATCCCCTTTCCCGTACTCAAACCCCTCATCATCCCCAGTCTCCTCAAAATTCAACCCGCTCATCCCAGCGGCTAAGGCATCGAAAGCTGCAGACTGATTACTATTAGCGCCACTATTACTGCTACCTTTTCCGCCGGGTCCATTTCCACCGTACCGGGATTTGGTGGAGGGCGAGGTGTCGGATGAGGGGGGCCTATCTGGTGTTTCGGAGACCAAGGAATCTGAGGGCGTGGGCCACGCCGAAGGTCGAATGGGCTGAGAAAGTTCTTGAAAATCCGGGTAATCGAATTCCTCGCCCGGCGTGTTGAACTCGACGAACGTGTAGGCGTCGTTGCCTGTGTCTGGCTGGGACGCAGTCTCGTACAGATCATTTGCCTGAGAGTCCATTAGAATACGAATAGCGCAAGGCTTAGGGTTTTGGGATTGGAGCTTTCGAAAGTGGTGGTCTAGGATTAGGGTTGCAGGGGCGGAAAAGACTCGGCGAGACGCCGACGAAGAGATGGCGAGTTGGTAAGACTTCGTTGATTTGTTTTAAGCGTTTTACGTGAATCAAAAATGGATTGAACGAGCTGATTCGCGAGTCACGACATACAATGGATTATTTAATAGAGATTAAGTAGGGTGTAGGGATGGTAATTAGGGGTGATCATGGTTCGGTTCGAACTGGACTGTTCGAACCGAATTGTGCACTGTTGAATCAGAATTGAAATTAAACTGTCTTTACAGTTTTAGTTTCGGTTCTTAACTGGAACCAATATGGTATTGGTTCCAGTTAAGGTTTGAGATGACAAAGAATCGGAACTTGCGGTTTCGGTTTCAAATCGAAAACAATTAAAAAGTTTTTTTATTAAATTTTTTTTTAATAAATCCGGTTAGAACCGGTGGTTTCAATTGGAACCGTCGGTTCTGAACCGGAACTGAAACCTTACTATAAGGTTTCGGTTTGGCCATTTGCAAAATCGGAACCGAAATCGCGGTCATGTCTAATGGTAATGGGGCGGGGTGGGTGCGGGGATATATCCCCCGCCCCGCACCCGCATTCTCAACTCAATAGTTATGCTATGCAACGGTGTGCACCATGCATGGTGCACACGGTTGCAAAACGACGTCGTTTTGACTAAAAACGCGCGTCCCATTTTAAAAAAAAAAAAAAATCAATTTCGATTCATATCTAATGGTAATGGAGCGGGGTGGGTGCGGGGATATATCCCCCGCCCCGCACCCACATTCTCAACTCAATAGTTATACTATGCAACTGTGTGCACCGTTGCAAAACAACGTCGTTTTGACTAAAAACGCGTGTCCCATTTAAAAAATAATTCAATTTCGATTTCCCTCAACAACATTATTGTAGATATATAGTTATGAATTATTGTGGATATATAGTTATGAATTATTGTAGATATATAGTTATGAATTTGTGGATATATAATTATGAATTTATGGATATTTAGTTCATTCATTGTGGATATTTAGTTCATTCATTGTGGATGTTTAGTTCATTCGTTGTGGATATTTAGTTCATTCATTCTGAATTTTGTGTTATTCATTCATTGTGGATATATAGTTATGAATTTGTGGATATATAGTTATGAACTTGTGGATATATAATTCAAATTATGCCAAAAAAAAAATGTTATTGCCACGAATCGAATCTGATTTTTTTTTTTTAAGTGGAACACGCGTTTTTAGTCAAAACGACGTCGTTTTTGCAACCGCGTGCACCATACATGGTACACACGGTTGCACAACATAATTTGCATTCTCAACTCACTCTCTGCATTCGCACCCACATCCGCGCGGGTAATGAAATTCCTACTCTATATTTGTCTTGTGAAAATTTTGCGGGTGCGAGTAATACTTAACCCGCAACTTTAATTATTATTATTACACTCAAATCTAATAAAAATTTTATACTACAATTTTAATTATCATATGAAATTTTTTATAAATTTGAACATAACTCTAAAATTTAATACTCCGTAAGAGGTAAGAGCCAATGAAGTTAATCCTTAATTGGAACTAAAATTGTGTTGGTCATATAAATTGTATTACGTGTTTATTCATTAAGTTATTTGTGTTGTTCCTATTCAATTTCCATTAATAAAAAACTAAGAAGTTTAATTTATTATGCATTTTTAATTGTAAAATATACATAAACTTATATAATAAATGAATATTAATAACAATATATATAAGTACGGGTGCGGGGCGGGGATACTTCCCCACGCTCCCACCCCTATACCCGCGTGGGTATACAAAACTCCCCCATACCCGCACTCATTACCTAAATTGTGTGGGTATTTTAAAACCCGTACGGGCTGGGATGCGGGGAACCCATTGGTGCGGGTAGAATTGCCATCCCTATTAGGGTGGTATCTGTGCCTCGTACAGTCAGAGTCTCTTCAGTACATCTCAGTCTAACCAAAAAATATAGTGGTATCTAATATTATAGTGTTTTGTTTAATGTAGTCATTATTTTAATTTTGTTCAAGGTTCAGGTTATATAAGATAAACAAGGTTATATTTACTTGGTAATATAAAATTCGCATGTTTGGTTTAGGTTACGTAACTTTTTCAGGGAATGTCAGATAACCTCCGCATTAAGTTTTTAGCTATTGGAAGGGAATGTGAGATGCCCTCCAATTTTTGATGTAATCTCACATTTCCTTGTCTTATTACTAATGCTGGGTTTTGTATTTTTTTAATCAATTTATCTTATTACCGTTGTCTTATTTACATATCTTAGTTTTAAACCAAACACAGGAATTTAACATTCCTAGTAATCTAACATTCCCTAGGGAGCGTTTGGTTCACGGAATCTTGGATTACCCCAGGTAATAGGATTACCTCTTGTAAGGTAATGTGAAATTTTGGGAATGTAAAATTACCATTGTGTGTTTGATTTGGATGGTGTAATATAATATTACCTTGTTTGGTTCAGGGTTATATTTTAGGTTATATAGATCAATTTACAATAATGCCCTTCAATAATATATATATATATATATATATATATATATATATATATATATATATATATATATTATGTGTGTGTATTTATTTATATCTATGAATGTACATCAAAATTTAAATATTAAAAAAAACTAAATATATAAATATACATATATGTATATTTGATTATATAAACATATATTAATTTCATCCTCATCCTCCTCCTCCTCCTCCTCCTCATTATTATTATTATTATTATTATTATTATATAAAGATTAGTTTATAAGGACAAAGTTGAAATAATTTAAGATAATCTAAGATTATTTTAAAAAATGGGGTAATTACATTACCTTGAAACATTACCGCCACATCAACTTTCAGGTAATATAACATTACCTGATAATCTCATAACTTGAACCAAACAAAGTAATATAACATTACCAGATTCAAATGACCTAGATAATCTAAAATGATCTGAACCAAACACCCCCTAGAGTAATCTAACATTCTGTGAACCAAACGCCCCCTTAGAGTCTATTCAGTACATCTCGGTCTAACCAAAAAGTATGGTGGTATCTCAAGATGTTAATTTTTTTTAAAGACAAAATATTAAATTTTAATATGTAAACAAACTAATTTAAATTTTATGAAGGTATCCTTTTTAGTCTTTTTACATTTATCAGCTTACCAAAAAGTTAATTTTACTAAACACTTTCAATTATAACAACTAGTTTAACAGCTCTTCAGTTTTTAACTCCAAACTTATAGCTTTTCAGCTTTCAGTTTTTAGCTTATAGCTTTTTAGCTAAGTTTGCCAAATAGAGCCTAAGTTCTTCAGTAAATCCTAGAATTATTTGTTCAGTAGCTTGGTTATCTGAAACACCATGCAGATCACCTCCCATGCTGCTCTCTGTCTTCGTGCCACTTCTCAATCTGAGGAAAGAAAATTAAAAGATAATTTAAGTGAAATAAAATCCTCAAGCATTCAATCCTAACTCCTAAGATTTGAAAAGTTCAAGTTGTATACAAATCTTTACTTGGCTATTAATTTAAGAGGAAATGAGTAATAGTGACAATTTACCCATTGGGAAGGACAAGAAGATGTATACTCTTTTGCAATCTTCTCACACTCATTATCATCCTTGCCCTTCTCTTGAATGCACCTGGTTTAGTTATTTCTCATGTCAACAACTACTTCAACAATGGAGTACAACAAATAAGCATGATATGAGAGCTAAAAGCTACTCCTCTATGTCTCATTTTATATTTTTATGTGTCTGATTCAGTTAACGAGATTTGACTAAAATTATTTTTAATTTAATTTTTTATAATGTTAAGTTTATTTAATATTAATATATAATATTTATGTATTTAGAAACTACTTTAAAATTACTATTAAACACAAAAAAAAATTAAATTTAAAAATAAATTAAAAAAAAAGAAATAATTTATTTAACCGTGAGTAATAAACATGACAAATAAAATGATATAGAAAAAATATTTGAAATAATAACTTCTTAGGATAAATCTCTCTCGAAGTGAAAATCCTCATAATAATTTGTCGGCGCCCGGCGGCAAAAACTTATCTAAGGCTGTCTTACTGATCTACTTGTGTGAGACTGATCTAGATCCGTGAGACGGTCTTATACAAATGTGACCCTAATTTATTGTGGTGACAAATCTCACTTAAGAAGAATATGAAATGCGAGGTATATGGTGTGTGGGTAAATATTTTGATAACTACAGTCTACATACCTTTTGTACTCGAGAAATTGAATGTAACAATGGCGTATCCTCTCACCAATTGCATTTGCCGATGCTTTCTTCCCAGCATCCAGCTGCAAATTTTTATTTTTTTTCCCAATAAAAGGAATAATGGTGATCAATAAACTAATGTTAGTTTCAATAACAAAAAAAAAAAAAATTAAAAATAACAGTTGTGATCATGTTGAAAGAACCATGGTTAGTTAAAGTTTAATAGTTGAAGGACCATGTATGATTTACATGAACCACGAATAGTTAAATTTAAAAGTCGAAAGACCACATATAGTTAATTTAAAAATTTAAGACTAAATGTTGCGAAACCACTTTATTCGGAGGACCTCAGATACCAAGGACTAAACGTTGTAAAATCACTATACCCGGAAGACTTCAGACGGTATTTATCAATAACGTACCTTAGAGTCTGTAGAAGAAGGAGGAGGAGGAGCTGAGACGGTGCCGGGTTGGTGGACGGGGCGAGGGGCTTGCTCACCTCTAGCAACCTTGTTAACGTCCCTACCTCTCATCTTGTCGTGGGGGTCTAACGGTGCCGCCGCCGACATTTTCTACTCTCCTGGCAAGGCCGGCCTGTTTCAATAATATTATTACTTCTTTAATTTCTTCTTTCCAGTTTAATTTCTAGCAAGCTTGCCGCATGCCAAACAACACAATGGAAGACCTTTCTATATCTAAAGCTAAACTAAGGCCGCGTGGCGACTTTACAGAAGAAAATAGAGTCAGTGTTGGCAGACTTCCACTGAGGTGTTCTCTCCACAAGCTTACACGTTTAAGCTATTATCCGGCCGACTACGAGTACTATTTAGAAAATGATGAAATATTCACTGTAGTGTACAAAAATAATGATATATATATATATATATATATATATAGTGTAAGTTCTCGTGCGGTTAAATGCTTTCTGTGCGATTGTGCGTGAGGTTTGTACTCAATGTGCGTGACTATTGTGCTTAATGTGCCTGAGATTTGTACTTGATGTGGGTGAGTATGTAATGTTAATGTGCGTGGGTTTTGTATTTAAGGTGTATGAGTCTAGTGCCTAAGATGCGTGAGTTAGTTGTCTGCTTAATGTGCGTGAGTGTGTTCTTCATTCACTGCTGTGAAAATCATGCGCATCCACTGCTGCATTTTCTTTTCTTTTTTTTTTTCTTTTTTTTTTTTTTTTTTTTTTTTGTTTCGAAGTGGTGGAGGAATTGATTTTGTCTTGTTTTTAACAAAAATCAGAACAACCATATGTGCGTTTACATATATCCATTCATTCACACACAATCAGAAAAGCTTCACCCACATTCTCTTTCTGTTCTGCTTCCTTCTGAGCTCGTAATTCTGAACTCAAGTCACGCACATTAAGCACAAACTTCACGCACATTAAGCACAATACTCATGCACATTAAGCACAAAACTCACGCACATTAACATTACACACTCACGCACATTAAGTACAAATCTCAAACACATTAAGCACGCAACTCACGCACATTAAATATATAACTCACCCACATTAATCTACCGCACAACCGCACGGGAAGGCACAAATGCACCTGATCCCTTCCCTATATATATATATATAAAGGGATGCACTCAGGTGCGAATAAGTGCCCAAGAAGGAATATGCGAACGAATCAGCGCGCGACACGTGTCCAGATCTAATAGCTTAAAAAAATGCGGTGACATTTTCGTAAATAATTGAACATCGAAGTCCAAGTAAAATCACTTACAAGTACACTTACTTTCACCTATAAGTGCATGTAATTTTACCTTGTTAGCATTCACTTCCCGCAAACATTCATGCACCTGGGTGTACTTATAACTATTGGTGCAACTATTTATAACTATAGGTGCAACTACTTATAACTATAGGTGCACATACTTTCACCTATAAGTGCATGTAATTTTGCCTTGTTAATATTCATTGATTTGAGTTCAGCGGGTAGTAATACCCCTGAAAATCACCCGCAAACATTCATGCACCTAGGTGCAACTAATTATAACTATGTGTGCAACTACTTAGAACTATAGGTGCAACTACTTATAACAATAGGTGCACTTAGTATTGATGCTCAATGTAAATTTTTACTTGCACCTATAATACATTTTACGTGCACTTGTAATACATTTTACTTGCACTTCGATGTTCAATTATTTACGAAAATGCCACTGCACTTTTTTAAAAAAATCAGTGGTTCTCATCCATTAGATCTGGACACGTGGACAGACAGAATCTATTCCTATTTCGCTCATGGGCGAAGCATTCGCACTTGAGTGCGATTATATATATATATATATATATATATATATATATATATATATATATATATATATATATATATATATATATATATATATATATATATATATATATATATTGGTAGGAAATATCCCGACCGACATGCCTTCGTCCTTTTGTTCTTATTTTTGCAAGTTACAGGTCGAATTTTGTAGAAGAACCCGGTCAGTTCCCGACCGGCGTTGTCGACCACCGATCGGTAGCCCTTAGGCGAGAAAGCTGAGCAGAGACGCGTGGCAACGCCACGTGCTGACAGGCAGGGCACCCGGGAAGGCGACACGTGGTTGCTACGTAGGCGACATGCCGTACGGCCGGACTTGTGTCTCCGGCTCCACGGCTATAAATACCCGCGATAGCGACAGTGTGGAGAACTTTTGGACGATCGATATGTTGTTATTAGAGAATCCCGACCGCAATCAGTTGGTACTCAGAGCAACCACTTAGATTGTACTTAGGGCCTTCACCTGGATCAATAAAAGACATTTAATTGCTTTAATTGGTCTCGTGTTTATTTAATTACCGCATTATGTGGCAATTAATACTATCATTTTGGAGCCGTCTGTGGGGACCCGTGCAAGCAAGCCAACGTTTGTCGAGCACCCGGTCTCTTATCAACCATGTACCCGTGGGCGTACAATCTCCTCGGTGACGATCAAGCGGATGCAACCAGCTCATCCGATCACCAGCCGAGCCAGCAGCAAGGTCAGACCATGGACCTCAATCTCAACCTTTCACCACCAAATCCGTCTACTACATATCCGGCCCCTCAACAGCCGGTGAATTACATTCAACCGGGATACCCGACGCCTGGTCAGCAATATCAGCAGCCGCTCCAGTACCCCGGTCAGTATGCATACCCGGCTCCACCTCAACCGTACGGGTACTGGCCCGGTCAACCGATGTATTACACACCACCGGTTGGCTATCCACCTTATACGCCTGCGTACACGGCTCCAGCCGCCGCCCCTACAGTATACGCGACTGCTAATGTAGAGCCGCAACATCAGCCCACTTCCCGGGCTCGACGCTCGGCTCGTTCGCGGTTGGGGTCGGGGGTGCTGATGCGATGGAGGCACCACGGCAAGCCCCACAAGCACCGGAGGTTCCAGCCCAAGCGGAAGACCCCGAGGAAGTCAATCAGGCGGTAGCTTTTGATCGTCTCCGACCGGCGCTGCGACAACGCTTGGGACCCCAAGACCCGAGCCGGCAACTGGGAGATGTGCAGATGCAGGAAGCCAGCCAGAAGGCTTCATCCAGGCATAGCGGGTCAAGATCACACCGTCGACGACGCGCTCGGGAGTCAGCCCAAGCCGCCCAGACGGCCGAGCTCAACGAGACCCGAGGATTGCTCTATAACCTCCAGGCGGAATTCGCTCGGTTCCGGAATGAGCATCCCGTGACACCCCCGATCGACCAGTCGTCCTTATTAAGAACACCCTTTACAGCGGAGATAATGGCTCAGCCATACCCGCTCGATTTGAAAGTTTCGGGGGAGAAAAGTTATGATGGCGGTACAGACCCTGAGGTCCATGTTAATGATTACTACGGCAACATGATGATGAAGGGCGTGACAGACGCCGTGATGTGCAGGGCTTTCTATTCCACGCTCACCGGTCGGGCGGCGGAATGGTTCCGGACGTTGCAGCCAGGGTCAATAGCTGATTTTAATACCCTGGCGATCAAATTCGTGAGGAAGTTCATCACCTCCAAGGTGGTGAGGAAGCCCTATATGTATCTGGAAACGACCAAGCAGCTCGAAGGGGAGAGCTTGACCGATTCCCTTGTCAAGTGGAAGGCTGCGGTCGGGGAAGTCGAGCCAATGAACGACGCCACTGCCACTCACATGCTCCACATTTCTCTCCGGGCGGGTTACCTATATCAGGATTTCATCCTCCACCCCCCCGGCCACATATGAAGAGGCCCTTCAAAGGGTCACAGATTATGCCAACGCCTGCGAGGTGAACGCTGTGAAACGCTCGCAGGAGGTCGGGTCCTCGTCCCGTAAACCGGCCGGCCGGGCGGAAAATCGATCGGGTGATGACCATCCCCGATCCCACACCAGGACTGGTGAGTTTACGGCTCTGAACCAATCCGCAGCGGAGGCTATGCAGTACGCGCAGTCCTGCAATCTCATTAAACTCCCCCATCCCGACCAAGATAACCCTGACAAGAGTAAGCACTGTGCTTACCATCGATGTGCCGGGCATGACACTGAGGAGTGTACCCACTTGCGCCAACTTTTGGAAGATCTTCTCAATCGTGGAAAGTTGGACAAGTGTGTAGGGAAGAGAGAGGAAACCAAGAAGAGTACCGATCGGAGGGATCATTGGTGTTCCCATCACCGCTCCGATCGTTCTGATCGTGATGGACGCTCTGATCGGTCGGGTCAGGACCGAAGATATGATCGAAGAGATGACCGTCGAGACGACCGACGAGATCCTGACCCCCCAACAAGTAGCCGACCGGCAGGCAAGCCGACCATCCACGTAATCTTTGGTGGATTGGATGACGCTTCCCGACCGAGGGATAACTACCCGGTCGCCATCGTAGATTCCCGAGACACCGGGAAACGAAAAAAAATGGAGCCCATAACCTTCTCCCTTAAAGATCAACCCAGCAGTGGTGACCACGACATGGAGGCTCTCGTGGTCACCATAGACGTGAACGGGACGGACGTTCAGAGGGTTATGATAGATACTGGGAGTAGTGTCAACGTCCTTTATTTGGACGTGTTTGAGAAACTTGGACTTGACAAGAGAGAGCTGACTCCGGTCGGTGTACCATTGTCGGGATTTACCAGGGCTCTTATCTACCCCGAGGGAAAAATCACGCTCCCAGTTGAGATCGGCACCTCCCCGAAGTCGATCAAGACCGAGATGGAGTTCGTTGTGGTTAACTTGCATTGCGTCCACAACATCATCTTGGGCCGACCCGCAATCATGAAAATCGGTGGGATAATTTCGATGCCCCACCTGTGCATGAAATTCCCCACCCCTAATGGGGTCGGAGTGGTCTGTGACGATGTCCAATCCGCCAGGAAGTGTTACACCCGAGCGGTCAATAGGCGTGACTCCGGTCTATTTTCCCGGATGAACACGATCGCTAGGGAGGAATCCAGAGACCGGAAGGAACAACCTGAGCCTTCCGAGGAAATAAAAGAAGTTGCCCTGTCCGAGGACCGACCGGACAGGAAGATCAAGATTGGCCGGGCCCTCACCCCCGAGCTCCGAGCGGAAGTCTTGGCAATACTCCGAGAGTTTGCCGATATCTTTGCATGGGGGCCCGAAGATATGCCCGGGATCGACCGAACGGTCATTTGTCACAAGCTAGCAGTCGATCCCGC